CTGCCCTTAATACTCCCCAAGAAGATGAACTGCTCACATCTTCCAGGTCATCCCCTCTCAGTGTGATGGTGTTGCTGTTGGACTGGTTGGACTCATTGTCTTGATCTTCCCCTTGTTAAATGCTCAGTCCAAACATTGAGGCAGTTTTTTCTAGTGTTGGGACCTTTTCTTCCATGCTTTCATGTTGGTGTGAAAAGAGGGAGGTATTGTCAGCAAAATCAACGTCCTTTAGCTGTTTGAAAAGTGTCCACTACATGCCCCGTTGATGGTCATTCATTGTGATCAAGAACAGGAAAGGTGACAACAGGCACCCTTGTCACACTCCTGAGAGCATGCTGAAGGATTCTGTCAAGATACCATTGTGGGTGGTCTTGCTTACAATATAGGGTGTTTTTTAGTGAATTAGCACTAGCTATGTGTTTTCTTTTGAGCTTAGTAAATGACTTTTGTCTGGGTGCTTTCACTTTCATTGATAAAGAGGGCAAAGACCCTCATGAGTTTCCTTTGTGTAAAACTTTTACTCAGGGAACTACGGACTTATGTGGGGACGTGATCTCTTTTGAAATTTGGTTTCATGCATACTTTACCCTGGCATTGCATTCTCCCAGGGCTGAAGAGGTTGAGAGTCCGCATTGCTCTTTGGGAGTCTGGTTACCCCAACTCTGTGCCTCGTCTGGGGGAGATCAGAATATCTGGCCCAGCAGAACATGATGGTGGTGTGATGGACACCCCCCATGCTTTATGAAATGGATTTATGGACATGAATATACATAAATCAAAAGTGCGTTGAGCAAATTATGTCGTGTAACCCATTAATCTTCATGTCACAATCTGCTGGTTCTGTTTACCTTATTTTGATGTATGTATCAATTTTGTGTGCAAAATTAGCCTTCTTGAGTGGGAATACTTTGTGCATTTCAAGTGTGTGAATGAGAGACATGGAGGGTGTTACCTTCAAGGTCTTGATGAGCGGCCTCGATTCCTTAACAAACGGAATAGGAAAGGAGAGGCCTTGGTCTTTTGGCTGCCCTGCACCTGAAGGAAGGAGCCTGTGACCCCAGGGTGGGGAGACAGCCCTGGTTTGGAGGGGCAGCTGGAAAAGTGGTTCTAGGGTGAGTTTGAAGAGTTTGTACTGAGGTTTCAGTGTAGAATTAGCCAAGTGGTTTTGTGTCTTTTGATTTGTAACCTACTTTCCTCTGCCGGAGACAGCCCTGGTTTGGAGGGGCAGCTGGAAAAGTGGTTCTAGGGTGAGTTTGAAGAGTTTGTACTGAGGTTTCAGTGTAGAATTAGCCAAGTGGTTTTGTGTCTTTTGATTTGTAACCTACTTTCCTCTGCCTATTTTCACTTATCACAACCCTGCACCCCGAAATGGCACAAACAGACTGCACCAGCCAGTGGAATTGAGGGTGGTTTATTGCTCCTCCAGCACAGCGCAGCACAGATGTAATCTGGTTACAGGAACTGGGGCTAAGAGGCCTCAGTGCCCCCCCTTGAGATAGGGGAGTCCCAGCCCCCTCCCCAGCTCCTTATTCCCTGCCTTCCAGCCAGGAACTACCTAACCCTCTCTGTCTGTGCTGCTTCTCGGTGGGGGCAGGGACCTCAGCTTGGGGCCTTGGCTGGGGGAGACCAGAGGAGCTGGCCCAGCAGGACCGGGCAGTGAGGAGCCCCAGACAGCGAGCAGGTGAGTGGCAGTGGCCGTGGCAGCACTCTGAGAGGCCCCCCGAGGGGTCATCTGTGACCCCCCCATCACAGGCGGGGAGCCCCAGAGAGCAAGGTGGCAGTGTCAGTGGCATAATCGACACGAGAGGGAAGAGCCCCAAGGGGTCTTTTGTTATCGTACCCTGTCACAACCTGCGTAATTAAAACGGTGTAAAGCGAGTGGCCTGCAAAAAGTTCTGCAATTTCCTTCTACATCTTTAAATTGCCGTCTTAGATGTAAAAGGAGATCAAAGCCTTTGGGGGAAGGACTGTGGGGTCCAGTGTCTGTGAGCAGCACCTGACACTTGCTGGCTGCGATCTGACTCCATGGGCAGCAGGTGACGTTGGCAAGGGATGTAATTTCCCTCTACTCTGCGTGGGCACGAGGGCTGGGCTGCAGTCGGCACAGAAGGGCTGCGTCTACACTCGCGGCTTCTT